ACATTGAATATAAAAATGCATTTCTGATGCTAAGAAACTCTGGAGAGTAGTCACTTTTCACACATAATTCTGCGAAGCCCATTCCGTAATGATGGCTCTTCATGACATCACACTGAAGGCATATAACTTTTTATTTATTTATTTGGGGGGGGTGAGATGTAATGTATGTTTAAATGTATAACATATCAATTTCATACATTTATGTATTGCAAGATGGTTGCCATCCTAGTATTAGCTATTACCTTTATTATGTTGCATATCACATAATTATCATTTTGTGTGTGTATGATGAGACCAATTAAGATCTATTCTCTTAGAAACTTTGAAGTTTATAATACAATATTGTTGACTGTATTCACTAATGTTGTACATGACATCTCTAGAACTTATTTATCAGTTTTCTAACACTACTGCCGTTGGTAACCACCATTCGGTTCTATTTTTATGATCTTGGTATTTTTAGATTCTGCATATAAGTGATATCATGCAGCATTTGAAGTTCTTTCTCTGACTCATTTTTGGGAATCTATCTACTGATGAACAAGAAGATGCAATATACGTACATGGTAGAATATTATTCAACTGTGAGAAAGAAGGAAATCCCGTTATTTGCAACAACATGGACAGGTATTGAGGACATTATGATAAGTGACATATAATTTTTAAATTCAGTTACACACACTTTTTGTGAGTGTACTTACTACTTAACCTTAAACTTTTTTTCAATGCCAAAAATCTGAGGTTTAGACCTTTCATTGATAACATATACATGATATATATTTTAATGAATTTTAATTTGTACAAATTGATTATTCATATGTAGGGTCATTTTTTTCATATATGCGTGGGAAAATCACTTTATTCCCCAGGCTTTGTAAATTAGAAGTCAGGAAATTCAGAGTATTACAGTAAAATAGGCTCATCACCAAATACACTTTTTTCCCCCAGCTGCTTTAGCCAGAGCAATTATGTAAATTTATGTAGTGAAATCATTGCATTAAGTAATTTAGTCATCAAAACACTAATTTTTGTTATCACAATATAAATATAAAATTGATTATAAATCATCAAAGTAAAGCTATTTGCAATGGAAATGTAATTGAGATGATAAGATGAGGAAATTAATGTTGAGTTAAATGAAGTTATTTAAAACGCCTTAAGTTGTGATTACATTATTTAAAATTTCACCTTTATTTTGTGGTTTTTAAGTATCCATCAAGTTAATAGTTAAGATATGTGATTTTCATTTTTGTGATATTTCTACAATTTTAAATGAACCTCATCTCTAATCAATTTCTTTTAAAGAGATATATCCAAGTCTCAATTTGAAAAAAAAAATAGCATTTAGAGAATTGGTTGATGTGGTATTCCTGCTCTCTGACGAGCTGCATACTGCCTACACAGACAACTTGAGAAGAACATAAGTGCTTAACAATATCCTATATAATTAAAGCCCAGCAACCAAAACTGTAGAACGACCAGAATGACCAAAGAACAGAACGCCCACGGCCCCTCGCCATGGCTGGGCCCACCTCCCAGCAACTGGTTAGGGGAAATCAGGCAGGCAGGCGAGCAGTTAGGAACCAGAAGTCCCGGATTGTGAGAGGGAAGTACAACTGCCAGTTTAGGTCCGATCCACAGGGATCCCTGCAGATCGGGCCTAAACCAGTAGTTGGATATCCCCCGAAAGGTCCTTGATTGCGAGAGGGTGCAAGCTGAGTTGAGGGGGCCTCCTCCCCCACCCGTCATGCACGATTTCATGCATAGGGCCTCTAGTCTTACTATAAAGTCAAATCTAAGTGTCTTAGTGTGGCCTACAAGGAACTTTATAAGTTAACCTTTCTTACCTTTTCACTTGATTCAACTTTCCACTTCACATAAATGTTTGTACTCATATAGTCATTCATTATATATTTATTTACTAAATGTTTTCTCTTTGCTTGAAAACTGCTTTGGTCTATGGATAACAGAACAAATATATCTTTTTTTGTTTGTTTGTTTTTAAACACATACTACATAACTACTAAACTCCTAATTTCCTGGACATACCATGCTGTTTCATGCCTTAATTCATTTATTCAAGTTTTCCTTCTTTCTAGAAGCACAATGCTCTTTACACTTATGTTCACTTGGCAAAATTCTATAAATTATTCAGAATTCTAACCAGGCATAACTATCATGAGACTGTGAGGCTTTTTCTAACAGAGCTAATCATTAAAGACATGTATAATTCTTTAGTTTTACATATATATTCTGTACAAGTGGCTCCATTTGTGAGCATAAAATCTTAACAGAAGATAAAAACTATTAAAAGCTGCATTTATCACACTTAGGGACATGTAGAATTCAAACAACATCTCAAACTTTAAGAGCAAAGGGAGAAAAGCCATCCTGTATATCATTCCATTGCCCTCACTACTGTTCTTGTCTCTTACTGATACACAATACTGCTGTTTTTTGTGATCGCCCAACATTCGGCCATCAAATCAGAGCTATATGAGTGCTAAATCCTATAGATCCAACTGACAGGACAGATCAATGGGTTTTAAAGGAGAGAAACACCAACAAAGGTGCTTCTGTCTTAGTATTAGACTCAACATAATGTGCTAAATCCTATAGATCCAACTGACAGGACAGACCAATGGGTTTAAAGGAGAGAGACACCAGCAAAGGTGCTTCTGTCTTAGTATTAGACGCAACATAATATATCTAACCTGGGCTTCTCTGTCTATGACTCTGAAAATCCATATGATCCTTTAGATAACTTTCATAGACATTGTCCTTTGAGGCCTCAACATCAGAGTAAAGTCTCTAAAGTAATTTTACAAGTCACCTTCTATTAGAACCAGCAAGAACTTCCCCTGGGTCCAGGCCCCGGATCCCACCAGGATTTGGGGTAGTTTCCTTTTCAGCCCATAAAGCACAATAGCGATCTCTATGTTTTTTCTTCTAACACTAGTGCTTGATTTCTGCACTGGAGCAAAACCTAGGAATGCCACAGTGTTGTTTTTGCATCATTTTTGGGTGTTCGTATTTACTTAACAGTTTTTCTTTTGCACAATCGATGCAAATGGCTTT